AGAAAAGAAGTTGCTTAAAATATGATTTTCAGTATTTTCAGTCACATTTAACAAAATATGCGATAAAATGACAGTTGCTATGCCTTACTTACTAAGCTCATTTGTATAAGTATATAAGGATATATATAATTAACAAATTGTATATAAATTATCAAACATTCTCAACTCCAGTTTTTAAGACCTACTACAAATTATCTGGTACTGGTTAATGAGTCATCCTGTCAGCATTAGACTTCATACTTCCTAAAATACAAAAGCCAGTGTCAGATGGGATGAAGCTCTACAGACAAGACTCCAGGTCTAGCTACAAGTCCTATAGCATCAACATGCAGAACTCTAGAGAGGCATACACAGTTCTTCAGGACAGAAGGCATAGAGGCCAGTGCCCCTAAAATTTTTTGATAACCGAAAGTCTTGACATTGTTTTAACATAAGAACTTTGGAAAAAGTTTAACTCTTATAGAGCTATAAATCAAATTGATTAAAATTAAGTAACATGTTTTATTCACCAGCAAACAGGGCAGCTTTTTCTGTAGCTTATGGGTCAAACTATACAACGTGGGGTTAGGGCCAGGAATGCAGAGAAGACAACAAACATTGAAGACCATCACTGCCTATCACAATCAGCTTAATGGTTTATGCAAATTTTATCAAATTGAAAGACTTTAGGTGGCAAGAAGCATTTGCAGATTGCAAGAAACAAAAGGAATGCTTATTTCAAGAATGATAATTATTATATCATGAAAATTAACTTTGCAACTATTCATAAAGATCACTACCCCTACACAAGATACAGGAACAAGGAAATAACAAACATGACAGAAGACTAAAGTTGACTACATAAAAGATTTAGATATGCCATAATGAAATTTAATTTTATGCAAGTCTGAAAATGTAGAAGTTACAAAAAGGCTGTAGAAGTTACCTAGGAGAGAAATTTTGGCAACAGCACTAGATGTTTATAGTATTTTGATGCACACAATTTGCTAATTAAGTTCATACCTGAAGATAAATGATATTTGTCACAGTATTAAAATATACTTTGCAAATAAACAGTTTATTCCCTCATAAATTCTGAAAGTCTAAACTAGGCAAAGAGTCCAACCAGCATTTCAGGGTAAATGTGACTGGATGTCACTTTTAAGAAAAAGTATTGGCTCTTTGGCTTAAGGCAAGATTAGAGCAACACTTCAAAAACAGAAAATAAAATCTTCCAATCTATTAGAGATTAAAAATCTCATGCTTTTAGAGATTCCAGACCTAGATTTTTCCAAAATTTAGGGTTCTAGATTTTCTGAGATATAGAATGACAGTACAGATTTGAAGCTGAACTGTAAAATTAAAAAACAAACAAGGGGAGGGAGGGTGTGTTAAGAAAAATATATTCAAAAGAATTTTTTACAGAGGACTTCAGCCTAACTCTTATAAGTCTGAAATGATTTATAGGCCCAACACAAATATTCCGGACACCAAAGACAGGTTGGAAACAGCCACTAGTATGTGAGCATATAAGTGACCTGAAATGGTAACTGGAAATTAAAAGAATAATAGCTAAATGAAAATTTATTATACATAAAAATTAATATGAATACTCAACTGTAAGGAAAAAAACCCAACAAAACAAGCTTTATAAATTAAAAAATATTAATGCTTTTTACTGCTATGGACAAGGAGTAATTTTCTGCATCAGGAACAAAATAAACCTAGGGAAAATAATGGAAGGCAGAAAATATCAATAGCAAATAAGGACAAGAATATAATGTACCCTAATCAAAATGGTTTTATGTGGAAAAAGTTGTATCAATATGATTTTTGCTAGTGAGATTAAAAGTGCAAAGGATAAAGTTGTAGATTGTAGTGTGAATTTTCAACAGTGTTAGAATTTATAGCATATGATATTGTGATTAAAATTTAGTTACTCCAGTATAGCATTACCACATATATATATTATATATATATCTGTATTAGACTGGAGTATGAAATGACTGCCAACAGAATCTGCCAATAGAAACTATGCCAAAACACAGAGGGTTTGTAAGAATGGGTAAAAATTTGCTACAGCTTGAAATTTGAATAAACAAACTGAAAAGACACAAATTTATAGTAACATCAGCGAATAACAAAAACTGATACACTCCAAAGTGAGGATTTCAAGGCAGTCACATAGACAGCTCATACCTCTTGCAAAGGGAAGTTCAAGCAATAGGTATTTAATATAGCCAATACAACAATCTACGGAAACAAAGACAGGAGACCTACAAAATAGTGATGGGCGTCAGGCTAGCCCAGTGAGATAACAACACAGTACACACTCCCTCCCTCCCACCCCCTCCAAAAATTCTCAGTTACTGTTGTAACTCCCTAAAGAGAAACGACTCAAGAAACTAAGTTAGGGCTTTTCAACAGGACCTTCATGTTGTTTCCCAGTGACTGTGCAAAGACTCATGGGACAATCAGTTACATTGCCAAGCAGCTGAATACCTCAGCAAACAGCTGAGGGAGCAAACAGCTCCCTCTCCTCTTTGTCTTCCAGAAGAGAGATTATCAATAAGCCATAACCAATCGTGATCATACCACTAATGGACGTGGCTCTTTTCACTTACAAAAACATACAGAAAATGGCTACGTTTTAGCAAACATGCTGAAGGTTTCCAAGTATTTGGACAAAAGTGGAAGAGGAGAATGCCAAAACAATGGAGAAGGACAAAGCATATATCTGATTCATTAATTCAAAATCACAGTGCCGTAGAAGCTGCCTCTGAAAGTACTGACTTCCAGGAGAAATCAGAGCCCCAGTGTGCTAAATTTAGTAAATCAGCTGCTAAATTCTTCACCTGTTCTGGTTTCTGTCAAGCCACCTATCAGGAGTAGTCTACTAGTGTCAATAAACCAGCAGGTAACAATCACATCGGAAGGCTTGTTCAAACCGTGTGACCAAGTGTACAAAAACCAAGTATGCCAGGGACAACAGAAATTATGCCCAAATGTCGGCTTTTCAGAGACACAGAAATTTTCTCCAAAAGTTGAGCTGAGTGACTACTTGTTGTTCTCTTCACAACTCTTCATAAAGATGGAAAGCAATGGTTAGAAGTTAAACTGTTTTATTCTTGCACGCTAAAAATAACAATAAAAATTGAAAATAAAAATGTAGAAATAACAAAAAAAATCAGAAACATAAACAAACAAGAGATTCATTAATTAGATCTATTTTCAGACTTTCAGTAAGCACTTTAACTTAAAATATGAAGAGATCTTGTTGTCAAGAATAAAACTTAGAAATTATGTTGCACCTTTCACAAAACTCTGGCCTGCAAACTCTTAATAAAGGTAAACACTACATGGATCAGCATTTACTGGGATGCAGTTTTAGACCATATGAAGCTTGTTAATGGACCGTTGTGATATATTGACCCAGGCCTTCCTTAATACCTCAGATAACAGCAAGAGGTAAGGGTAGAAGAAAAGCAAACAAGTTTACCAAAAAACTGAACTTACCTCTATACCGGGCACTCTCTTCAGCACATTCCTTGAGGAGTCTTCTTTCCTCCTCTGTCGGCACATAAGGCTTAGGTACTTCCCTCTTTCATTAAAGAAATAAATTAGAAAAGAATGAGTAAAGGAATGGTTTGGGGGGAGTTTTCAATCAAAAAAACTTAATGTCTAATTTTCACACCTTGTAGTTTCTGTAGTTTCACCCACTTTCTATACTTAAGAAACTGGTGGCTTTTGACCATAAATGTCACATGAAATATATCATTAAAAAAATCAGCGCTTCTACAAACCATATGAGAGAGCAGAAAATACTTTGTGCATAGTCAGATCCCAACTCAGCTCACTTCTTTTTCTCCAGAAAAGCCTGTGTTGGTCCCTGCAACCAGCCTTCCAAACAGATGAAATCTGATAGGTCAGGAAGTGCCTTCTTTAAGTACTTCTCAGGGTTTCAGTGACATAACACGCGTGTTGTTGGTTCCTACATATGTATTCAGTGAGAGCCGACCAGCTGTTTCCCCAGTATGTGAAAGGTTTGTGCTGGAGGTGTGTGACCCTCTCCCACTGTGAGAGGCGTGCAGCCAGGCGTGCTTCCAGACCACCAGCTAGCCGGGAGAACTGTGAGAAGGCCAATGACACCGGGGGAACACAGAATCACAGGTCAATTAGGTTGGAAAAGACCTCTGAGATCACTGAGTTCAACCTATGACTGAACACCAGCATGTTAATTCCACCATGGCACCAAGTGCCAGGTCCAGTCCTTCCTTAAACACCTCCAGGGATGGTGACTCAGCCACCTCCCTGGGCAACCTATTCCAATGTCCAATAACCCTTTCTGTGAAGAAATTCTTCTTGATGTCCAACCTAAACCTCTCCTGACACAGCTTGATGCCATTTCCTCTTGTCCTGTCACTAGCTGCCTGGGAGAAGTGGCCAAGCCCCACTTTGCTACAACCTCTTTTGTTGTAGGAGTGATAAGATCTCCCCTGAGCCTCCTCTTCTCCAGCCTAAACAACCCCAGCTCGCTCAGCAGCTTCTCACAGGAGTTCTGCTCCAGACCCTCACCAGCTTCACTGCCCTTCTCCCGACACGCTGCAACACCTCGATGTCGTAGAAGTGACGGGCTTAGAACTGGACACAGCACTCCAGGTGCGGCCTCACCAGAACCGAGTACACGGGGATGGTCACTGCCCTGCTCCTGCTAGCTGCACTATTCCTGACACAAACCAGGATGCCATTGGCCTTCTTGGCCACCTGGGCACACTGCTGGCTCGTGTTCAGACACGAACACCTCCTCACCTCCTGTCGGGACCCCCTGCCCGGCCCCTGAGGCCTCAAGGGCACCGTGCCTGCGAGGAGCTCAGGGCAGGGGCGGCCGAGCGGCTGACAGGAACCCCCGCTCTCCGGCCCCGAGCCTGGCCCCGAGCCCCCCGCGTTACCCCAGCAGGAACACCGCCAGCCCGGAGAGGTGTCCCCAGCCCAGCGCGGCCGAGCAGCGCGGTTACCTGGGCCGCGTCACCGCCGGGCCCCGGGCCCTGCCCGGCCTCCATGGCCGCCCTGACCCGGAACTGCGCGCGGCGCCGCTGGGGCGCGCTGCGCATGCGCGGAGCGGTGAGTCCCGGTGAGGGAGGGCCTTCCCGGCACGGTTGGTTTCAGGGATAACACGGTTACAGGGATAACGCGGGCATGGCACTGCTCGACTTGGTGACCGGCTCGTTGGTCTTGATAGAGGGTAGTAAAGTTTTTGTCTGCTCCTGCATTGCTCGAATAGGTATGTTGCCCACAGGTTTGTTAACCGGTTGCCAAAGATGCGTGGCCAGAATTTCCTGAAACGAAAGGGTCTCTTGCCTATAAAAAGAGCTTATCTGAATCAGGACTAAGCAAGGGCGTGGTGGGCAACTCTGAGCTCGAAAGTGATACAAATTTGGTGGTTAGGATTGTGTTGAAGTGGAAGACTAGGAGGGTGCTTGCCTCTAGCTGATGCTGTGGAAATGGTAGCTTTAGAGAGTGCTTGCTGTTTATACAAATCAGGAAAAGCTGAGGGAAAAAATAAAAATATGTTTTGGTAGTGCAGTGTATGCCTTGGCATTTTTTTGTAAATATGCAGTACTATGGCTTGAATTCACCACATCCTGATGTGCCCATACTTGCTCATGGAATGCACCACTCCCTTTTAGCCATTCCTAGAGCAAGCTTTACCCTGGAATTTAGCACACTTATTAAGGCAATTTATTTCATGCTTTTTCTCTTACGTTTCAGTACATTCTAGGCAAAGAGTACAATGGGTTTTTAAAGCCTACACTTCTGTGGGGTAGGGCATGTTTAGGAACTGCACATCCTCTAAACATGGAGCTTCAATGGGGAGGAAATGGCAATCAGTCTCCTTCACTGAAGAAAATAACGAGCTGCTGTTTTGCTTCTCCGTTGTAAAATTAATAGTTATCCATTCAACTTTCTCACTTCACTGTCTTCAAGTCCCTTAGACTTCTAATGGGAAAAAATAATTACAGTCATACAGCAAACTGGTGAGTTTACCATCCTTTCAAAAATCTTACCTAGTACACCCTGTTTGTGAGATACTTAAAGGTTTCACCTGGCTACACATATCCATTTGTTCTCTTAGAACTGCAGCTGTAGGGCCATATGCAGCATAGAGCATATCCACATCCTTAGCGCTTTGTTCTCTGTACTTAAGCTCTTTTTTGGAGTTCATACATAGAAATGTTAACAAGGACACAGTTTCTGCCATCTGGTCTACTTCTATGACTTCCTTTATACTCATGCCATCTTTCATGCAAGTATGAGAACTTTAGTTTAAAATCGGTCATGGTATCACCAAGTCCTTCTGAATAAACATAAAATGTTGCTCTCTGGCAAGCTTTAATAAGGCCAGATTTACAAAACTGATAGACAATTTGTTGAAAGCATGAAGTCATGTATTTTGGACTGCTTTAGGAGTCAAAATTATTTTTAGAAGTATTAAAACTCATCTATGTTTTTAAACTTTTTATCTTTTATGACTTAGTATCATCTAAGAATGAAAACTATATTTAAGATTCAAAATACTGTAATACAGAAACTTTATAGTTAATATTTAGAACTTGGGAGTTATTTCTTGTGAAGGAGATGCCTCAAAGAAGGAAAAAGGAAAACTTTCAAAGGATAAGATTCTTTTAAAACGAACTGATGACTTATGTTAACAAGAAGTTGAAAGGTGTGAAAGTCACGTTTTCTAATTGCAGTACTTTGCAAAACAAAGTTACTGGTGAATATTCAGAACTCTTGAAGCCAGAGCTCAAAGAATAAGTAAGGTGAGTTGTATGCAGTCTGTCAAGTGGTTTAAAAGCTTATCTTTCTGATAATTTTTATTATGCCCTGTTAACAGTGTAAGGCTTTCTATAAATCCACTCAAAGAAGTGGCCTAACAAATCAGTTTAGTTTTACGATAATGTATAAGACATAACTTAAACGAGTAGATGTGTAAAAGAGCAGGGGTAAAAGCTGATCTGGTAAGGAAAGTCACAGAACAAGTACTGCAAGTTTATGTACTCAAGTACGTAGCTGGAATGATGATTTTTTGTTGGTTGGTTGGTTGGGGTTTTTTGCCTTTTTTTGGGGTGGTTTTTTTTTGTTTGGTTGGGTTTTTTTGTTTGGTTGTTTTTTTTGTTGCTGTTGTTTTTTGCTTGGTGCTCTGGAGAATACAGTAAAATGTAACAGCTGAGAGGTTCTGGTTCTTCAGTGGCTGCCAAGAGTCAACAGGACTGTGTTGGAAAAATCACTCTCTCTCTAACGAGAAAATAACAACGTCTCATACCAAAAAAAGAGCATTGTTGTAACTACTATAACTGGTGGCAAACAAAGAATCAGTTATTTGCCTGAAGCATTATGGCACATCAGCAAGAAACAAGAGTGGGTGTCTTTGTGGAGCTGATAGTCAAAGCCTCAATTAGTAAGGACTTTACCCACATAGAAAATAATTGCTATTAACTGCTACTGTAATGTATTTTGTGAAGTACTTTACATTTTAACCAGTCTTTAGGGCTATTTTGTAAAGCAGGCAGGTAACAGGAGAATTTGGGTTTTGAAAGTAGCGTCATTTTACATCCTGTAAAGTTCAGGTGCTCAGGGTTAAATACCGGGGGTCTAATTTTCATTGGTGGTGAGGTTCTGCTGCTCCTCTCTATTCCATGGATGTATATGCATTTAGTGGGAAGATCAGGCTGAGCTCCTAACTCGGGATAACTTTAAAATCAGTACCAACTTGTGACGTAATCTGAAATGATGTACAACACCAGTAGCAATGAATCCTGTTTTTCTTGTTAGGTGCTCTATCACCCAGCATTTAGACTGCGGTACAATTGTTAAAATGCAATAAAAAATACTCCACACAATTCTTAAATCTACAGGAAAGAGTTAACCTCTTCTCAGCTACCAGTATATCATTATTTTTTCCTCTCCTGCTTTCTTTTCCTAGTGGTTTCTGCAAGTTGATGTACATATCTGCCTTAAGGATGTGCAGCCCATGGACATAAGTAGTTTAGCATGAAGGGACTTTTTACTCCAAAAAACCTAGAATTGTACAAAGCGTGTAACAGAACTTTGAACTTCTCCTACCAGAAACTATACCAACTGTTGTGCTGGTGCATTTGTTGTTTGTAAAAAGCATACTTTTCACTCAATTCTGGTTTTGTTGAATATGCTTATTATAATACGGTACTTGCAAGACAGGGTTATGTTTAATATTGGGAAAATGGTGACTTAGTAGTCTTTCTACTAATGTTCCGCAGATCTTGTGTTATCATGCTCGACGTGTATTTATTTTTCCTTCTTCCTTTCCTTTGTTTTTTTTCAAGCCTGGAAGCTTTGAGGCTATTCAACAGAAAATATAGTTACTTTTTAACTACTTAAAATGTTAATGTTGGTACTGTTTCTATTAACATCGTCTCCCAAATCTTTAGATTGTTTAGAAATACATTGTTACATCCAGCCACCAGACCTGTTGTATTAGTGAAATATTGGCCCGTCCCACCCAGTGCCAGCTGAATTTTCGCAGGGTGATGTTGTGAATTATCTTATTACTTTGCCTTGCTGCCAGCGTCACTTGCATTGCGATAAACCTTGCAGCTTGGCGCCTGGGGGAAATGCGTGAAATCAAAGTGAAGAGGAGCCCAAGTGTTTTATGTGCTGTTCAGGGGCAGCGACAGCTTTCCCTTCCCTGCCCCGCAGGCTTCCCGGGAGCCAGTCTGCTCCTGCGGGGGAGCCCGGCGGCTCGCATTGGTAGAACAACGCGAATAATTCCTGTCAAAAAGGCGGTATCTGAGCGTTTGTGGAGCTGGCCGAGACACAAGTATTTGCCCTTTTTCGTTTGGGGGAAGGGCGGATTTTCCGACCGCTTCCTACGGGAAAAAGGAGCGCCTTGACGGCACGGGCACGGCGCGGCGGGACCCCTGCGGGGCTTCATCGCCTCAGTAGCCAGGAAAGTTCCTTGATGTTCCCCAGCCACGCTGCCGCTGCGTGCCTGGAAGGCGGTTTTATTCCCGGCTACCTTGATGATACCGGCCTTCTTAACGGCAGCGGCCAGTCCTGCTCTCGCCGGGGGCGCGAAGGCTTCTTTGGGCCGCGCTCCTGCCAGGCAAGCCGGGCGGCACGGAGCGGGGGGCCGGGGCGCTGCCCGGGGCGAGCGAGGTCGCGGTACCGGTGCCGGAGCCGGCGGGGCGGCCCGGGGGGGGCGGTGCCCCGGGGCGCTCTCGGGGGCGGGACCGGCCGCTGCCTCGGCCTATGGCGGCCACGGGAAGCGGGCGAGCGCGGCCAATCGGAGTCTCGGCTCGCCCCTAGCGGGCTGGCGATTGGTCGGGACGCAGGGCGGGGGCGGGTCCGGGGGCGGGCCGGGCTCTCGGGAGCCAACGGGGCGGGAGCAAGGGGGCGGTGCCGCGTGAGTGCCGCGCGCCTGCCCCAGTGAGCGCGGGCTCGGGCGGGGCGGCGCGTGCCAATGGGGCGGCGGGGGGGGCGGGAGCGCCGCGCCGGGACGTCGAGGAGCCGTAGGGGAGCGGCGGCGGAGGGATAAAGCCGGCGGGGGATGTCGGTGGTGCGAGTCGCTCACCGGCTCCCAGCAGGGTCGCTCTGAAGGCGGGGGGGGAGACGCAGCCGCGCTGGGGAGGAGGAGTGGCGCCCGGGGCTGCGGCAGCTTCCACCGGCGGGAGAGGTGAGGCAGCGGACCTGGGACCCGGTCGTGGCTGATCGGGGGGAGGAGGGGGGTGCTCTGCCCCGACGGGGACGGAGCCCGCGGGTTGTGCTGTGCGGCTCCAGGCGCTGGCTCGGCCCCGGCCCGCGCCGCTTTGTTTACGGCGGGGACGGGAGGGAGGGAGGGGAAGGAAGGGAGGGCAGCGTGTGGCCGGGCGGCCCTACCCGCCGCCACCGCGGAGGGACGCGCAGGACAGAGGTGAGGAGGGGCCGGCGGTGCTGCGTGCGGTCGGCACCTGGCGGCCGGCCCCCCGCCGGGCTCCGGCCCTGTTGCCTCAGGGACACGAAGGCTCCCCCAGCCCCTCCGCGGCCCGCGCCCCGTCTTCTCCCGCCCTCTTCCGCCTCTTTCTCCCTGGCTGCGGCCCCGCCCGTGCGTGCCCAGCCTTCGCAGCCGGCGGCCCCCGGAGCTCTCGGGATGGGCGCGGCGCTCGCACGGCCCCGCGGGCCGAGCGGAAAGCGGCGGCCGCCGCCGGGCTCGTCCCGCCCCGCCCCTCGTCCGCACCCGCCCGGCCGGCCCCGGCCGCCCCCCGCGGCAGCGGGTCCGCGCAGCCGCCGGGGCAGCCTCCGCCGCGGGGGATGGCAGCGCTGGGAACGGGCCAGGCCGGCCGGGAATGGCGGGACGGAGCGGGGAGGGTGGCACGGAGCCGGGCTTTGTTCCCGGCCCCGCCCCGCCGGCGGGTGCCGGGGGGCTCCGACGGAGAAACGTGTGCCCCGGCTCCGGGTGGGAAGGGCGGTGCGGGCGGACAGCGACGCCCCCGGCTGCCTCTCCCGCCCGCCGCGCAGCTGTCCCGCTCCCTCGCCTTTGGGTGAAACTTGGGATTTCGGAGCGGCAAAGTAAGAGACGCGTGTGTGCGCCCTGCGCTTGGTGTATAGTGCCTCGCTGAAGGAGTCGCTCTCAGATGTTCTTAGGACGAAGGTTGGCTTTTATAGTTCTTGAAGCGTCACATGGACGTACTAACGTGGCTATAAGTATTGGAGGGGCTTAATTCGTTTTCTCCTCTCCGCTTCCATGTGTATGTTTCTAGTATTTTGGTAATGTGATAATTTTTATTACTCAGTGAGCAATTAATTTTTGTGTTTTGACTAGAAATCACTGGGTTGGCAATCGGGGTAGCTCTAGGTCAGACATCCTAAGGAATCAGATGGAAAACATAAAAAACCCCCCAAAACTCAACAAAACCCCAAATATTTTGGTGGCTGCTCATACCGAGTGAGTTACAAAAGCAGTTTACTGATACAGTTTTAAGGAATAGTAAGAAAATCTGGAGATGAGGTAGCAAGAATGTAACCTGGACTTCCTTCAGAACTACAAATCAGAAATCAACGTTAGGAAAGAAATATACTAAACCGGAAAGCAAGTTCTTCTTCAGTCCTTTGTGCACTGCCTATCTCCCAGGCGCAGTCTTCATGGAGTGAGAAAGACTTGGATGGTCAGCCACTTTCCTGTAAATGCAGACCCGAAAGAGCAAGGTGTTTATATGTTACTGAGGCATTAGGTGAAGAGCCCACTTCTTGGCAGGAACAAGAGATATGAAGCATATAGAGTACTGTGGTAAAGAAGATGATTTGGTGATTGAGTGTTGGGTAACGTTTCTTAAGTATTTCCTCAATGTGTTGTTTCCTCGGTAGGGTGTTTCACTTGCTTTGCTTCTGTGTTGTTACTGTCATGCTGAGGATATGTGCTGAATACTTCAGAATCTCTGTGGAAGATTGTTGACCAAGTGCTGTGAAACCACACACTGATTCTTATCTTGTGACACTACTGCAGGAAGGAAACAAACCCCTCGGTAAAAATTGTGTTGCAGGTTTAGTAAGTCACGTATTTAAAGATGAGAATGACGCTCTCTGTGTCAAAAACTTCCTTTATCTGTGGTTTGTAGAGGTCCTTAGTGGTACTTGATGGTGGTTGTCAGTAGACAACTGACTTCCCTGGGCAAACTGCTGCTGTGAATGGCTCCTTATTTATATTCCAAAATTGATTTGCTTAAAACCTGTGCTTACTTCTCTGGAAGTGGTTTCCTTGGAGCAGAGCAGCGGTGTGTTGCTTTGGGATGTTGTAGAAAACTGTTGCTGAACTTCATTTCAAAGGAAAAGTTGTTTAATTCTTCTGTGGCGTTAGTTAAGGTAAAGTTGGAATATTAAAGTAATTCTGTTTCTGTTTGGCTGGCCTAAGTGAACCAAAGCATGGTGATAGCTGGTTCTCATGTAATAGCATGGTTCCTTTGAGGAGGGAAGTTGGAGTGTTGCAGAGCTCAAGAGTGGTCCTCACATGTTTATTTCACTGTGGATATTTGTCTTTCTAATTTGGGGGGATAAAATTAATTGGTATGCTGAAAGTTTTTGCTAACACAATCGAGAACATGCTGTCTGTATTTACTTTTTCTAAGAACTTAAGAAGATTATAATTCCCTCCAGTGGCTATGCATCAAGGAAAACAACTTGGAAAAGAACACATTCTGCATCAAGCAGGAGTTACTTATTTTATATCTAGCTTTGTATTTCAGGGGGCTTTGTCTTGATCATCTTGCCTAGTGATGACCCCTTCATTATTGTGTAAGGGACCAAAAGACCGTTTTACTTTTTTTTTGTCCGAGTTCCTTAAGAGGCATATAGACAAACCTTCCACTTCAGTGGACTTCCATAATACAGAACATGGGTGTCTGATATGCTCCCTCTGTCTTAGAGTGCCATGAGCTTTTAGCAGTTTTTGTCTATATTTAAGCTTTAGGTTAACAGAAACTATAGGTGTCATGTGCACATAATGTCAGAGGAAGGACCTATGGGTTATGTGAGTTACTGTGACAAAAATGAGGATAATAGTTCAGGGTTTGTGACCTGTATCTGTAGTCACTGGCCTGCCTTACCAGTAGGAAATTCAATGTAGCTTATCCCTCAGAGGGAGAGCAGCTGGCCTAGCACACAGCCTGGCTGTTGTTTACTGCTTTGTACTGCTTCTGCATGCTCGCACCCAAACAACTTTGAGCCTTTACAACTTCAGTATCTGTAATAATCCTCCCAGGAACAACAGTGGACTGGAGAAGTGTTGCAATGTTAGGAGGTTTTAGGATTCAGCGTTTTCTTGTCTGGTCTTGCTCTAAAACCCGGTAAACTTAAGTAATAGACAGCCAGACTGACTCAGAAAGGGTTGCTTCTGAGCTTTTATATTGACTAAAAAAGCAGTTCTTTCTAGTATTTAGCTTGCTTATCTTCAGTGTTTGACAGTGAAGTGTCCTAAGTATGTATGTACTGCCATATAGCTCTGTCTCTTCTAAGACAAGTGTTGTCCTTCCTTCCTTCCTTCCTCTCCTCCCCTCCCCCAAATCTATTATAATCCCTAATTCCCTCTGACATGAACACCTCCCAGGAAGAATAACAAAATACAGTCTCAGATAGCAAGTGTCCAATACTGTCACTGGAAGGTGTCAGAAAGGAAAAAATCCTCTCGAGCTAGTTGAACAACAGTGTTTGCTCTTGACATGGCTTCAGTTTTGAGGGATTTTTGTGTTTATCCCTAGTTCTTCCTAGTGACTAATGTTTGCATGCAAAAATAGAAGAGGAACAAATATTAAAAACAAATCCAAACCAAACTTCTAAAGTTGAGTTTGAGGTTCTCTGAAATGTCTAAATATTTGGTCTGATACGATGGCCTAGTGCCCAGAAGCTTTTGCTGTAAGCTTTGGGGGTTTCATGGTTTGTTCTTTACACGGGTATTCTATGGGTATTCTTGCCCTTGTCACCAGCTCTAACGTGAATTGTTTCTTGCATTTAGTGACGATAGTCAAAGCTGAGCTGTGTGAAGTTCGCACAGACCTTGGCACAGGAGGACCCTTCTTTTGCTGTTCCAGCTGCTGCTTTGGCAGGTGGTCCATACAGGTGTTAGAGAACCTTACGTTTCAAGAGCTGGGGCTGGGTTAGCCTGAAATAGCTGACTTTTCATTAGAGTCTGTAGCAATAGGCTTGGGACTACTGACATGCCTCTTGAGTGGTGCAGCTGGTCAGTTTGGAGTTAGTGTGGTGACCTGTTTTCTTCTTTTGCCCTCTTTTTTGGAAAATGGGAGAAGACCTTTTTCTCCCCTCCTTTTTTTAATTTTTTTTAATTGAAGTTACATGAGATGGTGATGATAATAAAACCAGTTTTGTGTCTTTTGTCAGCTAGCTGTTGGAAGAGTACTTCAAAGTTAAGTAAGCGATACTTTCAGGAGTATTTGTAATTTTTCGGTTGTATGCTAAAGCAGTTTATGTCAGCGGCAGTTGCCAACATTATTTTTTATTTTAGGTAACAATTCTTTTTCATGTTTTTTTTTTTTTCCCTTATCTTCAGTGTGTTTTTAGAGAGTAGTAGTATAATTTTGCTAAACCAGCTAAACTAGACTGTTTCTTGCTTGGGTGAGATATTTCCTGTTCATCTGATCATCCAAAAATCTCATCGTTGCCTTCTTTCATATATGAAATATGCATGCTTTTTAGCATGCATTGACCAGATTTGCGTCAAGTATTCCAGAGACAGTTACAGTGGGATTTTATAAAGGTCTTTTAATACTCTGGTAGATATATCTTGCTGGTAAACCTTAGGATCCTGCTTTCTTTCCTTAGTCCTCTCAAGGTTTCTCTGCTTTGCGTATCCATAAACTGCAGCTTATAACAAAAAATATGACTGCTCAAGTATGTTACATTAAGTGGGGAGAGACGCTGTAGGTTAAATGCAGCATTAGGAAGTATCACTGTTTCCAACAGTCCTTGGGCCTACTGTAGTTCAGGTCACAGTAAATGATGTTAATTGTACTTGTGTAGAAAATATTCAAGGAGCTCAAAGATACCTCAGCAGTGTGTGAATAAGCAATGGAGAAGAGCAGAATGAAAACCTGCATTTGCTAAAAAGATCCCTGTGAGATTATGGGTAAGACCTGCCTTGCAACTTGCAACCCCATTTGTTTAGCCTTTCACAGAAAACTTAATGCTGTTGATCTTTTACTGCTTGTTTTTTGTAGTAGTTTCAAAGGCAACAATTGTGTAGGTTTTGCCAGCCCTATGCAGTTAAGTTTGTTTGTTTGGAGTAACTGAATATAATGTTGGATATGTTTATAAAATAAGAACTGGGGAGAGTGGTGAAAACTACAAATAATTTTGTTGTACTTGATCCAGAAGATAAGGCTCTAGTAATTCAGTGTGGGAGACTGTTAAAAGAGAATAGAAGAAGTGTAATGAATTAAAAAAAGTGAAGGAATATTTATACCATAAACCTTGAAAATGTTATGATAAAACAAGGTCTCAGGAATTCACATTTGAAGCTGATATTGCAAAGACTGACTTTGTTGTCCTGTTTTGCAAAATGAAGAAGCATCTTCTTTTGTAAATGCCATGTCCTTGGTCCTTAAGGGGACTTGGAGTTATCAGTAGACCTGGACAAAGGCTGATTCTCTGCAGAGGTGTTAGCATGGAAGATAGGTTGCAGTGTTCCAAGTCATTTTTATCTGTCTTGCATGAGAATAATCCTTATCAACACCACTTCTGTTCTTGTGCTAAATCAGAAAGAACTGTTAGGGTTGTGCCTGTGGCAGCTGAACATTTTGACATTGACAGAATTTTCATGATCTTAAATTGAACTAATCTAATCTACCACTAATGCTGATTATGTTAATAAAAAGATTGTTGTAGGCAAAAATGCTAAGATTTCTACCTCTGTAGATATCATCCAAAAAACTATATCCAAAAAGCTGAATAATCACTGCCTTGTGCACTGTGACTGGCCAGTTTATTCCCTGGGATTTAGTGATGAGTAGTTGCTGGTCCTGTGATGGCAGTGACTCACGGAGCTCCTGAGGATACCCCACATCAGCTTATAAAGAGAAGGAGCTGGGAATGACTGCACTTATTCTTGGGAGGAGTAGCAGTTTATGTAGGGCT